TGATCTAAACGTATTGGCTTACCCACTCACTCACTTACTCACTCATTAACAAATACTCCATGATCTAAACGTATTGGCTTACCCACTCACTCACTCACTCAATAACAAACCCCCCTTGCCAGTGCCCCGAAAAAATATCAATTTCAGCAAACCACTCACATTGTGGACGAGTCCGTGTGGCGAGTGGAATGCGGACAACGCAGGCTACGACCCACTTACGTTCGAGAACGCTGGTGAGATGTGGTATGTCATGGGATAGACACTGGCATTAGATTAGCTACTGCGGGTGTACCGAGGATATCTACGGGTGTAACTAGGCTATCGTTGGCTTGTCCACGTGTTTATTTATACGTTGCTATGGTGTCGGCTTGTGCCAGTACCGTGTGTAAACACTGCACAGCTAGACGTATAGGTATCTGCACATTTTAACATGGAGATAATACACACACGTGTATACGCCAGGGAAGATGTCCCCATATGCCTTTGTACGGAACCAGTGAGACGCTAGCTTGTGCACGTGTGGGGATTCTAATCATTTTACTCGTGCACCTCATGACAGTTTTTTTATGGTTTAGGGTTTTTGCCCTTTGCGTGTTTACGCCTTCCGATCCTTTGCAGGTCAATTGTTCTTTGTGTTTCTAGGGTTTAGGGTTAGGGTTAGGGTTTAGGCACAACAATACCACGCCTTCCTGTCCTTCCCGCAGACCGTTTAGCAGTGCTGTGCAGAAATACTTTGCGTAAATGGGGGCGTTGAGCTTACCCTCACAACTACCGCTCGCACTCTTCCTAATGCTCATCTTCTTAATATTCTCATATTGAAAGAACACACTATATAACGATGGATATCTCCGCATGCACTACGTGTATCAGAGCCAATAATGGATATTTCTAGACACACATAACACTCCCCCTCGTGGCCAGCGGATGCCCAAGCCAGATATTCTGAAATTCCGTTTCAGACATATTTCGTGATTGTAATGATTTAACCCTAGATCCTTAAAACATCTTAGACTGTGCGTGTTTCTCGACACACACAACACACGCCACCTCACACTATGCATGTGTACGCTTGTATCCCTTATTAGGCATAGCACACCCTTGTACGCCAAAACGTACGAGTGTTTGATTGGGCCGGCATCGATCAAGCACTTGGTGTCGTTTATGGACGATCACTTTGCGCCCATGGCGGATGGTGTCGATGCAGATACCACATCCCAAGGCAATCCTGGTGAGTGCGTTTGTTTTGTTTTGTTTCTTTGGTTGGTTGGTTGTTTGTTTGTTTGTTCGTTTTTTTGTTTGGTTGTCTGTATATATTTTTCGGTTTGTTTGTGCGTTTGTTGGTTAGTTGGTTGGTTGGTAGGTTAGTAGCGTGTGGAAGACCTTGCTAATATAGTCGCTATGGTTACAGGGGAGATCTACGAGCTCCTTCCTTATCTACCGTCTTCTATACCTATGATCAACCACCCCTACACTTGTCCAACTCGTCGTTGCGTGAAACATGGGTGACATAAAACCCGCCGCAGCTCTGTGAAGCAGCAAAGAGTTTGAGATAGTAATAAAAGAAGTTTGAGATAGTGATAAACTAAGTTTGCTTGCGCATTGGGTACCCAATGTGCTGCCATGAGCTGAACCACTATCTTCCCCATCACTTCTTCGCTGTTGCACACCACAACTCATACCTCTCGAGGTGCTGGGCGATTATGTACTTTGTCGCCCTAGAATAAACTACTTGCTTGCTAGCCACTTCTCCCTTATGATTTACCTACTTACGTATCTATCTACTTATTGAATACTCTATCGCCCTAGAATGAACTACTTGCTTGCCAGCCACTTCTTCCTTTTGATTTGCATGTATCTGCCTACTTATGTATCTACCTACTTACGTATCTATCTACTGATTGAATACTCTATCGCCCTAGAATGAACTACTTGCTTGCCAGCCACTTCTCCCTTATGATTTGCATGTATCTGCCTACTTATGTATCTACCTTCCTACGTATCTATCTACTTATTGAATACCGACCACCCTTAGAATGAACTACCTACTTATCTATCTACCTATACTGTCTAGCCTTAAAATGTACTTGCTTGCTAAGCCCTTCTCCCAAATAAGTTGCATTATGTATCTACCTACTTGTGTATCTACCTATACTGTCCAGCCTTAGAATGTACTTGCTTGCTAAGCACTTCTCGCTCATAGCTCACATCATGTATCTACCTATTTACGTATCTACCTACTCAATGTGTACCCCCAGATGAGGAAACCACCGAATCGGCGCAGGAGACGCTGGTGGCTGGTGTACACGAAACAATAGCGCAAGCACTGCCCACAGACACCTCACTCGTAGACGATGGTATGTACCTGGCTGACAATTGCTAAAGATGAGAGGGTGCTGGAGTTTGGATTTCAGGATTTAGGGTTTTCGGATTATATTTTTGAAGACATTCTGCCATGGTCCATCTATCGTATCATATCCTTAGATAGGTACTATTGCAATATATTCTGAGATATGTACTATTGGAGAATGTTCACAGATGCGTACTAGAATTTAGGGTTTTACGCTGGTATGGGTGTGTATTTGCTGATGTAATTCAATGCCTATCTGCGGCTATATTCAACTTTGCGCACAGCAGAAGCGGAGACCGAGTCTACCATTACCAAGACTAGAACTGTCGAGATGGAGTCGTCTACCAACGCTGGAGGTGAGTGTTACGCTGACGTATTATATATATATATATATATATATATATATATATATATATATATATATATATATTATATTATTAATAATAATAATAATATATATATATATA